AATATATTTTATTGATTTTTTTTACAGAGAGGAAGGGAGAAGGATGGAGAGTTAGAAACATCCATTAGCTGCCTCCTGCACACTCCCCATTGGGGATGTGCCCGCAACCAAGGTACATGCCCTTGACCAGAATCGAACCTGGGACCCTCGAGTCCGCAGGCCAACGCTCTATCCACTGAGCCAACCCAGTTAGGGCCAGCTCAGTATCTTGAACACTATATAAAACCCAGGTCTAACTGATCACAGACATAAGTGTAAAGCTATAAAAACACTTATGAAATGTAGAAGAAAATCTCTGTGATGTTGGGTCAGGCCAAGATTTCTTAGCTATGATACTTAAGCACAATCCATACAAGGGGAAGCTACATTAAAAAATTTTTAAACATATTTTTATTAATTTCAGAGAGGGAGGGAGAGGGAGAAATAGAAAGATCAACGATGAGAGAATATTATTGATCAGCTGCTTTCTCCCACTGGGAATCAAGCCTGCAATCTAGGTATGTGTCCTGGCCAGGAATCGAACGGTGGCCTCTTAATTCATCAATCAATGCTCAACCACTGAGCTATGGCAGCCAGGCAGAAAATACATAAATTTGACTTCAAATTAAACTATTTGCAAATCACACCACAAAGGACTTTACTCAAAATATACAAAGAATTGTCAATTCAATTATTGAGGAAAATATGCAAACTGTATCTCAGCTTGCTAGGTAAAAAGCTTGTCAAGCTCTCATGTTCTTCAATTGCATTTTAGATATCATCATTTCAGATAATCTTTTACCCTCTCGAAATACATGATTACCAACTCTTTCCTTCACCTGCTTTAATAGCTCTAACATCGAAGAGGAGGGGTTTGGGTTTCACTGGCTCTGCTTTAAAAACATCATGGCTTTCTGTTCCCTAAGAGAGGAAGGGGCTGCAGAGGGCCCAGTCCACAGGGGGGGACTTTGGTGAAGTCCCTGGTCTTGATGCACAGAGGAGGCTGGGGTATGAGGAAACACCGAGGCACAGCTGGGAGGTTCCTAGCTGGTGGGACCCAAACAGGAGTGTGCTACCTCGTTCCACCACCAGGAGGGGGCTATTCCATCCGGCTTTTCTTCCTTTGGGGATGCTGTTGAGGCTCCCAGGGCACCACGGTGGCACGAAATGAGCTGGGCTGAGTCTTCTGCGCCTCCTGCTCAGCCGCGGGGCGGGAAGGCCAGCAGCCCCATGGGGCACGTCATTGGCGAGGCACTGGAAGTGCACAACGTCTTGGGTCCGCTCACACAGGCAGTCGCTGAGCACCTTGTGTGCTTGCACCACGTTGGCGGGGGTGGGGGTGGGGGACACCGCGTGTGGAAGGGCTGAAGCACTAGCAGGCCCGGCATTGGCACAAAGGGTTCCTGAGGATGCGGCGGAACACACCCAGGTGGCCAGCAGCGCGGACCACTCTCAACACCGAAGGTGTTGGCATCCGAGGTGAGAACCACCTCGAAGCAGGCTCCTAAATGACCACAAACTACAGCATGTCACCCATGCCAGGTGATTGGGGAAAGGCCTCAGGTCCCGCAGCCGCACGCCCTCGCCCAGGTATTGAAGGCCCGCTGCATGTGCTCGTAGAAGCCCTCGCGGAAGGCGGCGCGCACCATCAAGTCGCCACTGTTTTTGTCCTGTCTCGTCAAAATCAAAGGTCAGGAGGAAGCGCGCAGCGCGGCCTGCACAGCCATCCCGCCGTCCAATTACCCGGAAGGGCCGTGCCAGCGGGCGGAGTTCGTGCGAGTCCAAAGTAAGCGAGCAAAGCAATGGAGGCAGGGGAGGTAGGAGCCTCTCACGCCAGACCGCGACATACCCTAGACGGGCATCAGGGGCCAGCAACGGAAACCGCCGCCTGTAGGGACTGTTGGCATCAGCCCTCATCCAGAGCTCCTATAGAACAGCTTGTCCAGAATGATCAAATCCTGTGTCGTCCAACGGAGTGCCTCAGATAAAAGGGGCGCAGGATCGCTGAGCCTCTCCAGCAGGGTGCGGAGTGGCGGCAGAAGTCTGTCCCGGCTGAGTCGGAAACGCAGAGAGAGCAGAAAGGGGGGCTCGCGGAGGTATTTGGGCGCAGGATGGAGCCCGGGTGATTACGGGAATTGGAGGGGTCGGTATCTTACCCACCCTCGGCTTTCTGGGCTCCTGCTCACGAGTGCCTCCGGGTCAGAGGGGCCGTGGATGATGTGCATCTGGGCCGGCCCCTCCACTTGCCTCCCATGTCTCCGCCAGCGCCACTGCGCATCCCCTCTAAATGTCCAGGAGCCGCAGCTGGAGGCTCTGGCTCTGCAGCTGCTGCAGCGCCTGAGTCCCCGCGGTCTGCGCACATCACAAGTGGCTGTCTCTTATTTCCAACTCTTACTATTCAGTCATCATCACTCCCAATTTCAAAAGCGGACAGAAAAAGCCTTCTATAATCATGGGTGAATAACGGAAATGTTAAAAAGGCAGCAACACCCGGCCAGAGTGGCTCAGTGGTTGAGTGATGAGAATTCCGAGTGAGGCCATAATCCGGATTACGGGCTTGATTCCCAGTATGGGGCATGTGGGAGGCAGCCAATCAATGAGTCTCTCTCATTGATGTTTCTACCCTGTTTCCCCGAAAATAAGACAGTGTCTTATATTAACTTTTGCTCCCAAAGACGCGCTAGGTCTTATTTTCAGGGGATGTCTTATTTTTCCATGAAGAAGAATACGGTACACATTTATTGTTAAATAAAAATAAAGGAAATTTAATACCTGTATACGGTACGGTAGTATGGTAGTTGTCAACACAAATCAGACAAACTGTGAATACTACAGTGTCAAGAATTTACTCATTTATTCAATGACAATCATGTCATCATCTTCTGGAATATCATCATAGCAATCCAATTCCTGAATTTCCTGGTGAATTTCTTGTGACTCCATTTCTTTCAGAATCAGTGGACCAAATTTCTCATGTTTAACCTAGGGGGGGCCTTATTTTCGGGGGGGATGCCTTATATTTCACTCAGAAGGAAACCTGTAAGTAGGTCTTATTTTCGGAGGATGTCTTATTTTCGGGGAAACACGGCATCTCTTTTTCCATCTCCCTCTCTGAAATCAATTTTTTTAAATAGCAATATCAAAAATAAAAGCAAACATTTTATTTTAAAAATTAATCATAATCTGTGTAAAAAAAGAGAATATTAAATGTATGCAAATGTTATTAGGGTACCAACAACTGCTATAAAAGCTAAATATTTATCAAAATTTTAACTTTTTAATTAAAAATCCTCCAAATTATCTCAACCTTTTAACCATGCAATTCCAAATGTCACATGCAAAAAAATGTTCAAAACTGACAGATAAAATTCACTATAAAATGGTTTAATATATGTATTAGTTATTCATTCACATGATTACAAGCCAGAATAAATTTATTCGTATAATTTTATGTTACAGAACTCATAGAGGGTTATCTTTTTAAATGAACTAAACCTATTAAGCAAATGCATATTAAAAACAAAATAAGGTTTCATAAAACACTCACCAAAATGGCTAAAAAGAACAAGACTGACTGTATAAGTGTTGACAAAGATGTGGAGCAACTAGAACTACATACACTGGGGAAGGAAATGTTAATACTATATGCACTGTGTAAAGTAGTTTGGCAGTTTCTTAAAAAGTTAAATACCTACCATATGTCCCAGCTATTCCATTTTTAGGAATCTACTTAAGAGAAATGAAGGCATATTCCACACAAAAATTTACACGCAAAAATCAATAGCAACTTTATTTCTTAATGGCCCCAAACTGGAATCAACCAAACGTCAATAAATAGAAAGGGATAAACAAATTGCCATATAGCCATACAATGGAATAACACTCAATAATAAAATGAAATTAGCTAGTGATGTATGCAACATCATGGATGAATTTCAAAACGATTATGTGGAATGAAGGAATTCACAGCACCCCATAAGAAAACAGTACATACTTGATGATGATTCCATTTATATAAATTTCTTAAAAATGGAAACTAATTTAAAGTAATAGAAAACATCAATGATTGGTTAGAGAGAGCAGTGAATCACAATGGAACACAAGGAAACTTGGAGGTTAGGAACATTTCATTATCTTTATTGCAGTGAAGATAGCATGATAAGCATATACAAAAAAACTAATCAGATTTCACTCTTTAAATGTTTTGATGTACCTTATGCATCTATAAAAATTAAATTTATTAAATCTAGAAAACATTCTTCTAAACTAAAACCCATTGATGCATAAAGGAGAACTCCAGCGTGAAATTAAAACCTTTATTTCCTTCCTCATATTTGAACAAAAGGTAACAAAATAAAAAATAGCTAACATTTATTTGTCTTACCTTTTATAGATTTTTGATAGTGATAGTTATTTTTATTACATAAATAGAACTAATAAAGATTCAGAAGACTATTCATGCTTTAATAGCATTAGAAACTGGAATTGAATTCTAAATTGTGCCACTTTTGTTCTTTTAATACTTAGCCCTGGCCAGCATCCTCAATGGTTAGAGCGCCAGCCAGTGCACCCAAGGGTTGCAGGTTGGCTCCTTGCTCCCAGTCCAGGCATGTGTGGGAGGCAACCAACAGATGTGTCTTTCTCACAAAGATATTTCTCTCTCTCTCCCCTCACCCACCTCCCTCTCTTCCACTCTCTCTTAAAAGCAACAGAAAAAAGATCCTCAGGTGAGGATTCACAACAAGAATAACAAAAAGAATATAATATATATATATATATATATATATATATATATATATATATATATATAAATTTAATGGCTACTTTACATTTCCCCTGTAATTGTTTAAGTTTATTATATTGCCCTGTTTTTAAAATGTTTTATTCTAGTGATAAAATATAAGTACATGTGCCAATCAAGGAACAATAAATAAAAAGCATTTCAAGAACTCAGGCAACTGATAAATTTAAATTTTCACCACTAATAACTTTTGGAAAGAAAAATTATTAGATAGTATTACCTTGAATGTTATATTGATAGTAATCAGGATCTTCTGATTCTTCCTTTACTGTCACAGCTGCCATTTCCAAGGAAATACCTGTAAAAGCAAATAAAATTACACAATTATACTTTAGGGCACTCAACTAAATGGTGCAGGGAAATCTATTCTACCATCCTAATAATGCAGTATAACACTTATATATAAATACTTTGAAAGGACAAAAGTATGCTAGGTAGCAGGAGAGGGAGGGGGACAGAGACATACGTGGGAGGCAGGGTATGAGTCACCTAAACCCAACCTAGACAAAGTTTTAGCCACTGTAAATATTCTGGGACTATTTGCTGCCAGATTTTTTTCTCTGACAATCCTTAACTTTGGATTTAAAGAACATTAATCACACTATATATTCAATCACTATTAAAAACACTTTGCCAGCCCTAAACCTTTTGGCTCAGTGAATTAAGCGTCAGCCTGAGAACTCAAGGGTCCCAGGTTCAATTCTGGTCAAGTGCATGTACCTTGGTTGTGGGCACATACCCAGTAGGGGGTGTGCAGGAGGCAGCTGATTAATGTTTCTAACTCTCTGTCCCTTTCCCTTCCTCTCTGTAAAATATCAATATTTTAAAAAAATACTTTGCCAGCCACTGGAAATTACTCATAAACACTGCAAAAACTCAATGTTTCAGGGTAAAGATGGCATAATTTTCACCCATATTATAATGAGATACACTAATGTTTTTTCCTCCTAAAAATTCCCTTTGTTAACAGGTACAAAGCACACTTTTCTGCATAATCCTTTGCCCACAATCAGGACCTTTGTAGCCAGTTTTAAACAAGTGCATGTTATACAATTCCACGCATAAAAAAGTTAGAATTAGAGAAATCTTTGTAATTAAAACTCAAGTAATGTCAATTATACCTCAATAAAGCTGAAGAAAAAAATAAAATGCACAAAATTCTGGCTAAAAAATATGCCATATATATGTATATGTGTGTGTGTGTGTGTGTGTGTGTGTGTGTGTGTGTGTGTGCGCGCGCGCGCAAAATATATATATAAGAAATATGGGAACACTCTGCACTTTCTATCTAATTTTGCTGTAAAACTAAAACTGCTCTAAAAATAAAATGTCTATTTAAAAGCAAAAAAAGAAAAGGAAGAAAAACCCACTAGGACAACTATAATAAAAAGAGACAGAGAACAACAAGTGCTGACCAAGACCTGGAGAACTGAAACCTCATATACTGTTGCTAAGAACATAAAAAAAATAGTGCAGCCACTTGGGAAAACAGTTTGTCAGTAGCTCAAATTAAGCACAGAATTACCATAAAACAGCAATTCATTCCTAGGTATATACCCAAGAGAAATGAAGATATATTTCCATACAAAGACACATATGTGGGATATACATAGCAGTGGTAGTCAAAACAACTCAAAAGAGGAAACAACTCAGATGTCTACCAAACAGAACAAGGATTTTAAAAAGGTAGTATATCCATACAATGGAATAACATTCAGGTCTGAACTACTTAAACACACTACAACATTTTAAAGATGATCCTCAAAACATGATACAGAGGGAAAGAAGCAAAATGTGCCCTAACTGGTTTGGTTCATCGGCCTGTGGACTAAAGGGTCCCCAGTTTGATTCAGGTCAAGGGCACATGCCTAGGTTGCGGGCTGGATCTCTAGTAGGGGGAATGCAGTAGGCAGCTGATTAATGATTCATTCTCATCATTGATGTTTATATTTCTCTCTCCCTCTCTGAAATCAATAAAAAAATATTTTTTTAAAAAGCTAAATGTAAAAAATAATATAAGGTTTGATTCATCTGTACTGAATGTCTATAATAGTGGTGGGAGTGACTGAAAATTGGAACAAGGTTTCTAGAAGCAGTGATGGAAATGTTCTGAAAGTAGATTGTGGTGAACACTGCAAAACTTTGTATACTTACACAACATTATTGAATTATATACTTATGTCAGGTAAATTCTATGGCATATAAATGGTAACTCAATAAAGCTATCCAACAAAACCCATATGAAGAACATTATAAACATAACATTTAAAAATAAGGAATCAAATAACTAAACAAAGATTAAACTTAAAAAGCTTCCTTGCTAAGTAGAAAATGGGTGTGCAAAGAGAAAAGGAGAATAAAAGAGTATTATATTGAGTTTTGTAAAAAGGACAATAAAATTAGCTGACATTTCACACTATTATTCCTGTATAACTGGGAAAAAACTATTAATAAGTTTTGTCTACAAATGTGTAATTAGCAAATTTCTAGCTGCCATTTATCAAACAAGTTATCTTTTGAGGTTTCATATCATATGATAACAAACAACATCACCACTGAAATAAATTTGTCCACTTCTCATCAACAAAACAGTAAGTAATGACTCAAAATATAACCTACTAAATTAAAGGCTTTCTTACTTAAATTTCATAATTGTTTTTAAAAGCAGTAGTACAGCCTTGGCTGGCTTGGCTCCCTGGATAGAGTGTCAGTCTGTGGACTGAAGGGACCCGGGTTCAATTCCAGTCAAGGGCACATGCCTGGGTTGCAAGCACAATCCCCAGTGAGGGACATGCAGGAGGCAGCCGATCAATGATTCTCTTTCATCATTAATGTTTCTATCTCTCCCTCTCTCTTCTTCTCTGAAATCAATAAAAAAAAATTTTTTTTAAATTAAATAAAAACCTACCACTATTAAAATAAAAAAGAAACAAAAATAAAAATAAAAGCACTAGTACATACCAGAATCTTCTGTGGGTTCAGTTTTCACTTTGATGGGGCCACAACTGAAAAGAAAAGGAAACCCTGATGAAGCTATACACACAGCATTCAAATGCATTGGATCTTAGTATAAAATCACCTACCTGACCAAGCTGGAAAAAAAAAACAAAAACAAAAAAAACTGGCTCAACTTTAAAATTTACATTTTTATTTCTTACATAAACATGACTTGTCAACTGAATTTAGTATTTTAATACCAATCAAAAATTTTTGAGGGAAGGAGATATAATAAAATATGGAGTAGCAATTAACTTTCCAATTCCACTTTACTATAAGGCCTATCACATCAGTTTCCCCAAGGAATTACTGTCATGCAGAACTACTAAATCAATAGCTGCTATTTTTACAGGATCTCCAAATGATTCAATTGCATATTAAGTTTCAAGATGTGTGACATGGGCCTTTTTAATATTCCAATACCTCAATAGATAAAAACTAAAACTTGTTTAGGTGTATGGAGTTAATATGCAACCATCACCACTATTCTTTTTCAGAACTTTTTCACCATCCCAAATAGAAACTCTGTACATTCTAAACAATAATCCCCTCTGGCCAAAACTGGTTTGGCTCAGTGGACAGAGCATCAACCAGCAGACTGAAAGGTTCTAGGTTTGATTCCGGTCAAGGGTATGTACCTTAGTTGCGGGCACATCACCAATGGGGAGTGTGCAGGAGGCAGCCGATCGATGTTTCTCTCTCATCGATTTTTCTAACTCTCTATCCTTCTACCTTCCTCTCTGTAATAAATCAATAAAGTATATTTAAAAAAAAAAACAAAAAAAACTAAAACTTGGTGAAATGTTTTACCTTCCACCTGGAGATAGCATTGACCTTTCAGCATCTGTTCCCATCACTCGACCACCTATATGTACAAAAAAAATTAGATTTAGCTTCTTCCAACACTTTAAATATAACTAATATTTCCAAAGGTCCTAAACATAGAATGAAGTAGCAAAGGGGGAGTTCACAGCTCTGGGTCCTACTAGACTGAGTATTGTGTTAGCTTATAGAAGTGTCCTTTGTTCTCCTTTATAAGGAAGACTAGAGGCCTGGTGCATGGGGGGAAAGTGGAGGGGAAGGGGGGGAAAAGGCATGTCCCTCAGCCCGGCCTTTGCAATCTGGGATCCCTCTCACAATCCGGGACTGCTGGCTCCTAACCGTTCGCCTGCCTGCCTGATTGTCCCTAACCGCTTCTTCCTGACAGCATGATCGCCCCCAAATTGCTCCCCTGCAGGCCTGATTGGCACCTAACTGCTCCCCTACCAGCCAGATTATCCAAAACTGCCTTCCCTAGCTGGCCTGATCACCCCCAACTGACCTCCCCTGCCAGCCTAATCAACCCCAACTGCTCAAAAATACCTTCTCCCCCAGCATGGGGGGAGGGGCAGAAAAAATAAAAAATATTCCTCCCTATTGCACACAGACCCTATATACAAGCCCACCTGGCCCAGGCTGGCAGGATGCTCAGCACATCCTCTGATCCCTGCTCAGGGGCTGAAGGGGTGACTAGTGGTATCACATGTGAGAAGGGACTCTGGGCGGCCACTTTGGTCCTGGCACTTCCTGGTGCTCGATTCCTTCCTGGTCCTGCTATCAGCCTCCCCTCTCCATCCTGGCCTCAAATGGCCCCCTTGGCTCCTGGGGGCTCTGTCCTTCCCTCCCAGCCTGGAGGTCCCAAGGGGAGGTTATGGCTTCTCAGAGACTCCCCAGCAGCCCTGGCACTTGTGTACACACAAGGGAAGGGGTGCATGTGACAGAAACAGCTGTATAAATGTGGGTGCTGGTTTGCCCTAAAGGGTGTTCCGGATCAGGGTGGGAGTTTCTTGGGGGCGTGGGGCGGCCTGAGCAAAGGGCCTATGGTGGTTTGTAGGCCAGCACGCCCCCTGGTGACCCAAGTGAAGGCCTGGGTATCTGGAATTTATTTACCTTCTACAATTGAAACTTTGCAGCCTGGAGGGGAGCCAAGGCTCCTGCTTGCTCTGTGGCTGCCACCATTTCTGTTTGGATTTGTTTACCTTCTATAATTGAAACTTTATAGCCTTGAGTGGAGGCAGGTGGAAAGCTTGGCTTCCTCTATTGCCTGGGAAACCCAAGCCTCCCTCCTGCTCTCTGTGGCCGCAGCCATCTTGGTTGGGTTTATTTGCATTCTCACTCTGAGTGGCTGGTGGGCATGGCTTGTGAGTGTAGTGGAGTGATGTTAATTTGCATATTACTCTTTTATTAGGTAGGGTGTGTGTGTGTGTGTGTGTGTGTGTGTGTATCCACGTGACAAATATTAAAATCAAATATTCATAGCACTTTCTAATAGCCAAGTAATAGAATAGCCAAGTAACTCAAATTTTCATGAACAGGTGAATGAGTAAACAGATTGTAGTTTATCAATAAAATGGAATACTACTCAGCAATAGAAAAATAATAACTACTGATAACATTAAACAACCTGGATAAATCTTAAAATAAAAACCAAACAAGAAAAGAGTGCATACTATATGACTCCATTTATATTAAAATATCTAGAAAATGCAAACAAATCTAGAATTTTTGCACAGTGGTTGCCTGGGGACAAGGGCAGAAGGAGTAGATGGAGGAATTACCAAGGGGTATAAGGAAACTTTGGGATGAAAGATATGTTCACTTTTTTGATGTAGTGATGATTTCAGTGTCAAAACTTACCAAGTTGTACACTTTAAATGTGTATGGCTTTTTGGATGTAAATTATATTAACTTTTTTAAAAAATCCTTACCCAAGGATTTTGATTTTTAGGGAAAGTGGAAGGGAAGGAGGGAAAGGAAGGTGGGAGAAAGAGAAAAAAAAACATTGTTGTGAGAGAGACACATCTATTGTTTGCCTCCCAAACGCACCCCAACCACTGAGGTGTGAACCTGCAACCCAGGTACTTGCCCTTGACTGAAATCAAACCTAAAACCCTTCGGTGCGCAAGCCAACCCTCTAACCACTGAACAATACCAGTCAAGGCACAATCACAACTTTTCAATTACTTTGAAAGTTGGTATGGCAAAGAAGTCGAACTATACAAACCCATCCACTCAGACTATTCATTATAAAACACCCCATAGAAATAATCATTAATTAATGACCAGGCCCCAATGTTTGAAAACAAGTTTCTATGCTTTACAAAATACAAATGGCAGACTAAGGCTAAGCTAGAAAACTTTAAGGAAAAGTAATAATGAGGCCGCGAGACCAAGATGGCCGGGACTTTGCTTCTGCCCTTCATCAGCCCCTTCACCAAGTACGCCATCATGATCAACGAGGTCACACCCTACACCTACCCAGTGCCCGTCCGCGATGATGGGAACATGCCCGATGTGCCCAGCCACCCCCAGAACCCCCAGGGCCGCAGCCTGGAGTGGCTGGAGAATCTGTGAACTGGCAGAGAGGAAGTCCCCTCCCGTCGCCCCCAATAAAATGTGAAAACCGAAAAGAAAAGAAAAAAAAGTAATAATGACAAAAACATCTGAATTTTAATTTTAAACATGACAAATAAAACTTTTCTTTCTCAGTCTTAAAAAGGTCACATACAAAAAAAACAACAGCTACATCATTATGGTGAAAGCTTGGATGCATTCCAGCTAATATCTAGGACAAGGCAAAATATTGTATTGGCTATTCTAGACCAAGCAACAGAATTAAGAAATAAAAAGTATTCAGATTAACCAAAGAACTTATATGCATAACCCATAAACACAGACAATAATGAAGGCTAGGGAGGAAAGAAGGGTAGGAACAGGAGGGTGGGGGTCAATGAAGGAAAAAAAGGAACATCTGCAATACTTTCAATAATAAAGATAAATTATTTTTAAAAAGCATTCAGATTGCAAATAAATAAACTGTTTTGAGTCACATACAGTATGACTCACCATGTAGAAAGTCCAGAAATAAACAGTCATGGTCAACTAAATTTTAACAAAGATGTCAAAGCAATTCTAGAGGAAGGATAGTCTTTTTAGCAAATTGTACTAGCACAATTGAAATATTACCAGGTACCATATTAACAAAATTATCCCCAAAATTGAAAGTAGATCTAACTGTAAGAACTAAAACTACAAAACTTAATATAAGAAAACATGACCTTGGTTTAGGCAACAGTTTCTTACATAATGATGTCAAAAGCACAAGTGACAAAAGAGTAAAATGAACTTCATAAAAATTAAAACTTTTCTTCCTAAAAAAAATTATCAAACAAATGAAACGGTAAACTTGTAGAACTGGAGAAAAGATATATAGGGAGAATATATAAAAAAACTCTTACAACTCAATATTAAAAATATAAATAAATCAAATAAAACATGGAGAAAGAATATAAACAAACATTTCTCCAAAGACTATATATAAATGGACAATAAACACATGAAAAGATACTTAACTTTAGTAAGTAGGACTACACAAACCAAAACCACAGTGAAATACCATTTCATACCCACGAGGATGGCAAAAATCAAAGGAGTGCAGAGAAACTTCAACCCTCAAATGATGCTAATAAGAACATAAAGGGTACAGTCATTTTGGAAAACAATTTAGCAGTTTCTTAGTCAAATGAAAAATTACACTATGACCTAGCATTTCTACTCCTAAGTATACATATCCAAGAGAAATTCAAGTATACATGCAGATAAAAACTTGTTTAATTATATTAATAATGTTATCTTATATAACAAAAGTGTAGTATGCAGCCGAAACCGGTTTGGCTCAATGGATAGAGCTTCGGCCTGCGGACTGAAAGGTCCCGGGTTCGATTCCGGTCAAGGGCATGTACCTTGATTGCGGGCACATCCCCAGTAGGGGGTGTGCAAGAGGCAGCTGATCAATGATTCTCTCTCATCAATGTTTCTAACTTTCTTTCCCTCTCTCTTCCTCTCTGTAAAAAATTAATAAAAAATATTTAAAGAAAAAAAAGTGTAGTATGCAAATTGTCCCCTTGACCTAGAGCTGGCCAGGGGAAGGGAGAGAGGCCCCGACCAGCGGTGGAGGCAGGCTACTGGTGGAAGGGAGGGAGTATCCAGCTGCAGTCGGCAGACGCAAAGGACCCTACCAGTGCACAAATTTCGTGCACTAGGCCTCTAGTTGTTAAGTAGGAAAAATTTAAATGTCTACCAATTGATGAATGGATAAATGGGTAGCATATTCATATACTAGAATTCTTTATAATGAAGAACCATTATACTAATTAGACCGAACACCTGAACAACTATCGGACAACATTCCAGACAACATCTGGATGACCTTCAGGACGAAGCCGAGGCTGTGAGACCTGGCTGAGACTGTGAGGGTCTGCGAGAGCTGAGACTCTTGCACAAATTTTGTGCATCAGGCCTCTAGTACTTAATATTCAGCAATAGTACCTCTAATACATAATATTCAGAATCAGGCCTCTAGTACTTAATATTCAGCAAAAAAACTATTTGATATACTCAACAACCGGGGTGAATCTCTAATGAATTATGTTGGGTGAAAAAGCGAATTTCAAATGAAAATATACTGCCCTAGCCAGTTTGGCTCAGTAGATAGAGCATCAGTCTGGGGATTGAAGGGTTCTGGGTTTGATTTCAATCAAGGGCACATGCCCAGTAGTGGGTTTGATCCCCAGGAGGGGGCATGCAGGAGGCAGCCAGCTGATCAATGATTCTCATCATTGAAGTTTCTCTCCCTCTTCCTTCTTCTCTAAAATCAATAACAAAAATATTTTTCTTAAAAAAAGAACAGTGTATATTTTATTTATATAACATTCATCAAATAATAGGATGATGAAAATATTCTAAAATTAGATTGTGGCAATGGTTATAAATCTCTTTTGTTAAACTTTTTTAATTGTACATTTTCCAAAATTCATTGAATTATATACTTAAAACAGCTGAATTTATAGCATGTCAATTATACCTCAATAAAGTTTATAAAAATTAATCTTTTATGGTAAGAACAAAATAAAGATTATTTAACAGAAAACAAAATATGTTTGGGTGTGTATACATTATTGTTCTTTCATCCTTATATCAATTAAGAAGTTGTCAATAATAATGGTTATTTACTTTCAAAAGTCTCAAATAAGCCTGGCTCCAAAGAGTGTCTGTCTTCTAAATATCACTTTTCCCTTCAAATGGAATGGCTGGAATTCCCCCCAAAAAATCCTTCCTCATTTCTCGAAGAGCCGCCATCTCTCCGCCCCCCCCCCCCGCCCCCTCTCTAAGAACAGTTTACTGCTTTTGAGGGAGAGGAAGAAGAAACACCAATGTAAAAGCCTAACGCTGATTGGCATCAAACTAGCAGCCTTTTGGTGCCTGCAGAGCACACCCCTCTCCCCCATAACTGACTGAGCCACCAGCCAGGTGTGAAGGGCCCCTCTTCATGCCCTCTTTCACATGAAAGCCTTCCAGGACTATGAAAGAATTCTTTCTCCAACAAACTTCCACAGAACCTTCTCTAACCATTCCTGTATTGTGTTCTTGCTGTGATGACTTTATGGACTTTTTATCTTTTCCATTAGACTACCAGACCTTAAAAGCTTTAACGCTTACAGAGAGTTGTGTATCCCAACCCCATCCAATCTTGTGCCAAATAATTCTATGTGTGGTCTATAAACATTAGGTAAATTAAATCATATTCATAATTCTTAGAAACGAGGGTGCATTCCAGTATATGATCTTACATATTACAAACATAAAATCTTAAATACACATCATAAAGCAAGAAGCAGAGCTGAAATCAAGTCTATTTTTTAGCTCAAAGACTTTTCACTGGTTTATACAAATATCATAATACCCCACTCCAAATTGTCTTACATCAAATTCTCAAACAAAGTAAAAGAAATCATTTTAAGGTATTAAATTGGGCAAAAACAGGTTTAGGAACCCATTCAGCTATCGTGTAAGTAAAGCAACTTACCTAGGTGCTTTTTTGGCTCTAGGAAAGGTCTGCATTTAAAAAAAAAAAAAAAAAAAAAAAAAATTATACATAAATACACAAACAAAAATTACTGAGAAGCATAAATTTAAATGACTTCTACAGTAAATATAAATTGTTAAACTATATTAAAATAAGCTGAATATTTAATTTTATATAAATAAACTGTTAGTGGGCAGGGAGAATAGTACTTCACCTCTTAATGGTGAATGAAATCCCGGCTTTGTTCTCCAGAATCCACTTCAGAGTTTCGAGACCATAGTTCTCCGGGTGCTGGAAGGCAACTCCTTCTGGAAGCCCCTGCACCACCACGGCTGACTGATCCCGCAGCATCTTCTCGTATGGAACCGGCACCACCGTGGATTTTCCTAAAGCTTTCCCTGAGGGTGTGGGACAGGGTGAGGAGAGGGGGAAAGAAGATAAAAATCATTAAATGTTAAGATTAAAAAAACTAAATCATCAGTTTATCTTGGCTCCATAAATGGCATTCATGCTATCTTATAATATCTGATTTCCAAACAATTTTGAAAAACTATAAGGTTCTACTTCCATGTTAGCAGAAATTCTAAACCTGAAGGAAATCCAAAGGGCCATAATGAAAGTACATAAGATGTTTATATAAAACCTACACAAAAGGATAGGAACAATCAATGGCTGATTTCTTGCATTATTCTCTTTCTTCAAAATACCCTCACTCTGGCATAACACAATCTTTCCATTTCATTTCAGCTCCGGAACATGGAAGCTCAACAAATCCAATTGTTACCATAAACTAGGCAATTTTGGGATAATACTTACTGAAAATTTATTAGATGAACACAATGTACATTTTCTAATGACTGTATTCTGTCAGGCTGTCAGTGTGTACAAGGCAATGAGTCCACAGAATAGAAACTCCATGAAGCAGAGTCGAATTTTACATAAAACCCAGTATAACCTACATATCTTCGCCCTCTGACAACTTTTGTTTTCTTAAAAGAGCTTTGTTTGTCACATAAATGGATTAACAAAAGGTGGGTTGTTGTTTTTTTTTTTTTTAGGAAATTCGCACCTATGTCAAAAATAAATAATTCTCTTTGGATGATTATGATGTGCTAATGCAGGTTCTCTGATGGGGGATACTGATAGTACAGAGTAATGCATGTGTGAAGGCAAGAGGTATAGGAGAAATTTATGTGCCTGCCTCTTAATTTGGCTATCAATCTAAACTTGCTCTAAAAAAAAAACCCAAAAAGCACAGCTCTAATAGCTATATTTATTTCTAGTTCTTTCAAACTGAAAATAGAAAATAAGGTTGATCCTAATGTTAATCCAATATTTAGAAATTCATTCAATTTGCAAGTGTGTTATATATACTTAGAAAACTCAATAACATAATGTATCTTTTATAAAATTCAAGTGTATAACCTTACCATAGCAAAAGCAGAAATAGTCCTCAACTGTTTTTCTAAGTGTTTCAATCTCTACAGCATCTACATTCATCCGATTTGCCTGGGTTGTAGATTTTATTTTATGCATCTCTGCAGCCTTTTCTTCTTCTTCAACACCTGTTAAGTAATTAATGATATACTATAAAGGCCTGTATCCATTATTTCAATATCTTGCTTTTAGTAAGAATATTTTTTCTATATTCTAACACTAGAGGCCCAGTGCATAAAATCCGTGCATGGGGGTGGGGAGCACTCAGTCCAGTCTGCACAATCTCCAATCCAGAACCCGGGACCCCTCGGGGAATGTCTGACTGCGGGTTTGTACCGACAGTTTTAACAGATGACAGCTCCACTGTTGTTTCTCTTTTCATGCTTACACCCATTGGAATTAGTAGGTATTCAAAGTGTGTATACATTTTGGGGGACACCCTGTATATCTCTAGTCAGAGGTGAAAGGAACCAATGGCATGCAGTGACCACCGCCCCTCCACAGGTGGGGCAGGGTGGAACACCTGTGTTGCCGCTCAGCCACCACCATCTATGTTACAGAGTGACCCTCAATTTACATATTCACTCCTATTGACTGTGAGCATCACCATCATATTCCCTCTTTATTAGATAGGATTAATTATGTATTATATAAAGACAGAAAAAAAAGAGAAGAAAGAAATCTTTAAAAATTAAAAGCTGCCCGGCCAGTATTGCTCAGTGGTTGAACATCGATCGACCTATGAACCAGAAGGTTATGGTTTGATTCCCGGCCAGGGCATATGCTCAGGTTGCGGACTCAATCCCCAGTGTGGGACTTGATGGAGGCAACCGATCAATGATTCTCTCTCATCATTGATGTTTTGGTTTTTTCCTCTCTCTCTCCCTCTCCCCTACTCTCTGATATCAATTAAAAAATGCTAAAAATAAAAATAAAAAGTTAGGGAAGAATCCAAGATGGCTGCAAAGGTAAACACCTAGCCGCAGCCGCACACAACAATTTCAATAAAATACAACTAAAATATAAAATGGACATTACCCAGAACTACAGGAAAGTCGACTGACTGGAAATTCTACAACGAGAAGGAAGGAGAAAACCAGAAGGAAGAGCGGAGGAGCTGTACAGTTTTTACCAAAGTATGGTTGCCACTATATTTCAGCAAGATAGGGTTAAAAAAAAAAAAAAAAAAGAGCGGAGGAGCTGTAAAAGCCTGAGGTATGGAGACACACGGTACAGGCGGAGAGGACGGAGCAGGAGAGAAGGGGCGGATGATTGCCTGGCTGGTGTTCTGTAGTGGGAAGGAGATAAAAGATCCGACTGTGCTGGGCCCCAGTTCCGACTGCTCTGAACCCCAGTTCTAGGCCAGACCCCAGGGACCCAGGCTCATACAGAGGGAGCTGGGCTGCGAGGCGGAACCTCGGGGGAGCAGCGAAAGGAGGTCCCAGAGGCATGCACATAAGGCACAGAGAAGGGACGGTTGGCTGTGCCGCGGGATTGCCTGGTGAAAAGGAGACAGGGGCTCCAGACTGCTCTGAATGCCACCTCCAATCCCACTTCCAACTGAACTGAACCCCAGTGCCAGGCTCATTGGGGGAGAGCATAGACTGTTTGGTAGCAGGCGAAAATTGAGGGCACCTTTCTCTCAGAGGCGCTTGCAGCGAGTACTGAAGGACCCTGGGGATTACTGAGACTCAGGAGCCGCATAGGGTGGGGCTGACGGAAGACAAGGTGGTAGGCTCCACCCTGAAACTCCGCCTCATCAGGGAAGCTGCGAAAATGCGACAACGAAATAGATCACAAACGAAAGAAATGGAGGACAAAAAGCGGCTGGATACAGAGTTCAAATCTACGCTTATAAGGTTTTTCAAGAATTTCCTAGAAAAGGTCGATAAGACCTATGAGGATATGAAAAGGGATCAACTAGAATTAATAAGGAATCAACGAGAAATGATAAAGGATCAGCAAGAAATAAAGAATACATTGTCTGAAATAAAAAAATATTAAACAGAGTCCTAAAAACGGAATGGAAGATCGCAAGAATCAAGTCAAAGATTTGGAACATAAAGAGCCAGAAGACAGTCCTCCACAGAAGCTAGAAGGCAAGAGAATCCAGAAAATTGAAGATAATGTAAGAAACCTCTGGGACAACTTCAAGCAAACCAACATCAGAATTATGGGAGTCCCAGAAGATGAGAGAAAGCAAGATATCAAAAACATACTGAAAGAGCCGGGACCGGTTTGGCTCAGTGGATAGAGCGTCGGCCTGCGGACTGAAAGGTCCCGGGTTCGATTCCGGGCAAGGGCATGTACCTTGGTTGCGGGCACATCCCCAGTAGGGGGTGTGCAAGAGGCAGCTGATCGATGATTCTCTCTTATCTCTCTATCTCTCTATCTCTCTCTTCCTCTCTGTGAAAAATCAATAAAATATATTAAAAAAAAAAAAAAAAAAAAAACATACTGAAAGAAATAGTGACAGAAAACTTCCCCCACCTGGTAAAAGAATTAGACTTACAAGTCCAGGAAGCACACAGAACTCCAAACAAAAGGAATCCAAAGAGGACCACACCAAGACAAATCATAATTAAAATTCCAAGAGCAAAAGACAAAGAGAGAATATTAAAAGCAGCAAGAGCAAAGCAGGTAGTTACCTATAAAGGAGCACCTATACAATTGTCAGCTGATTTCTCAACAGAAACCATGCAGGCCAGATGAGAATGGCAAGAAATATTCAAGTTGATGAATAGTAAGAATCTACAGCCAAAGATAATCTATCCAGCAAAGCTATCACTCAGAATCGAAGGCCAGATAAAGAGCTTCACTAATAAAAAAAAAGCTAAAGGAGTTCATCACCACCAAACTAGAATTATATGAATTGCTGAAGGGGGTTCTTTCGGAAGAGAAAATAAATAAAGATAAAAAATTATGAATAACAAATACATAACTATCAACAAGTGAATCTAAAAACCAAGGAAATTAAAAAAAAATCTGATGAACAATATTAACTGTTGAATATAATAGAATCAGAGGTATGGAAGGGGAGTGAACTGACGATTCTTGGGGAAAAGGGGAAATATGAACAATAAAAATTTATTTTAAAAAAATAAAAAATAAAATAAAAAGTTAGGCCCTGGCTGAGGGAACCCCCCAACAAGTGCACATACTTTGTGAAATAGGCCTCTAGTATGTGTGTGTGTGTGTGTGTGTGTGTGTACTAGAGGCCCACTGCACAAAATTCGTAAACTTGGCAGGTGTCCCTCAGCCCGGCCTGCACCCTCTCTCAGTCTGGGAGCCGTTGGGGGATGTCTGATTGACAGCTTGGGCCCACTCCCTGTGGGAAGCGGGCTTAAGCCATCAGTCGGACATCCTTAGTACCCCTGCAGAGGCAGAAGAGGCTCCTGCTCTATCCACTGAACCAAACCAGCTAGGACAACAAAAATATTTTCTTAAAAAAAAATTATATATATATATAAAATCAGTTGAGACTTAACAACAAAAAATTTTTTTCTCTCAAAATGATACTAAATGATACTGAATAAGCAACGAAAAACTCACAGGAGAGAACCTTGATACCCAAGAACCGAAAGTGGAGAATGCGTAAAACTGGTAGGAGGGGTGGAGGCGCTAAAGGGCTGGCCAGGCATCCACAGACGGCAACTGAAGTCCCAGAGAGATCTCAGCTGTGGGGAAGTGCCACTGAGAACTCTGGGATCTATCCCAAAGTGGGCTCCTCAGCAGAAAGCACCAAACTGAGAAGGGAACCCACATAACATATAGCTGTGAAAAGCAGTGGGGTGCTCTCTACCAGTGAGTGGCAGCTGGAAATTCTGGCACCCTCTTAAAGGGCCAATACACAAAAATTTCCTATGGAGCCACCCACCCTGTACTCTGGCGGAGAGAGGGTGAAGTGGACTGGAGATGTGAGAGCAGAACCCAGGACTAGGGACTTGGAGGATAAAGCTCAGAAGGCAAAGAGCACAAAGTTTCCTGGACTAAGGCATTCCCTCACACAGCAGAGATATCTTTCCCACATAGACATTTACCTTGACTAGGGGTGAAGATAGTTGACACACCCTATAAGAAAATACCTTGCACTGAGACCACTTTAAGAGATTAAAAGTAACAATTAGCCTCCAGGCAGAAGCAACTGCCCCACTCCATTGAAAAAAACTCTTGCAACACCTGAGGACAATTGCCTGGGGGCAATTCAAGTCAGAATCCTAATAGTTGGAGACTTTGAGTCTTTGCCTGATCAAATTAGTCAGAAACAGCCTCTAACACTGTCCTGCACTATAGACTGAGAAAAGATAAAATATCATATGATCTCACCCATTTGTGGAATATAATGAACAACAGAAACTAATGAACAAAAATAGAGCCAAAAATATATTAGAATATAACAGAAGTAATCCTGTTATTTGCAGATTTTTAATATTTCCTACAACTTTTGTGATATCATCTATGTTGATACAGTTTGGGTAATATTACTATACTAAAATCCTTTTATTTTTTTAAATATTAATGTTTACTGCATGCAATATTATTGTATGTTAGATCATTTTTCTTGAATAATTAGTTTACTGCATGTAACATTATCATATTTAAAATCATTTTTCTTGAGATATTATGTTTATTGCATGTAACATATGTAAGATTGTTTTTCTTGAAATATTAAGGTTTATGCAGGTGACATTATTATATTTAAATCATTTTTCTTGAAATAAAAAAACCTGAGGAATGAAAAAATATGGAAAGCTCTGGTTTTTATATAACTGAAGTCAGCAAAATATCAAAGACAACTAAATTCAGTTATTATTGCACATCTGGATGTTATAATGATGGATTAGTGATGTTTGGAAGAATAATAAAATAAAAACATACATAATCTGTAAATTATTACATGTTTATTCCAATTTCTTTTTCTTACTTTCATTTCAGCAGATATTGAGTTATATTGTTGTAATGAACATTATCACAAAATTTGTATTCTGTTGGCAGTGTTGCCAAATTACACCACTATTCTTGAGTCATTGAAAAAAAAAATAGATTACCACCATAAAATTTAAAAGATCATAGCTGGCTGGGGGGAAAGGCATATAGTGAAGGGAGAAAGATACATTTTTTAAAAAAAGAATAAAAACACAAGAAATGAAATTAATTAATTAAAAAACCTATTTTTATTTACCCATGATCTGCTCAATTTATCATAAATTTGATCTAAGTTGATAATGGAAATTTAAATTTGTATCTTAAAAACATGTATTTTACATGCCAATACAGATAGATATACTAACCATTATTTTCTTTCTGTATTTAAAAAAAATGCTGTATCACAGAATTAATATAAAATCTATGCACAGTGTTAGGTTAAACACAGATACAAAATTGTCATACTGTAAAAGGCCATACATATTAATACCCTACAGTAAATTTCTCCACTGCACTGGTTCCAGTGTCAAGTAAGTTTACCAACTAGATGAACCCCCAATTACCAACTGGATGAACCCTCAATTGGAGGATCACAGAACTCAATGAAGACTGACAAGTTGATTCCACTGAGGGATTTGAGGAGACCTGTTTAACTCTGCAACAGGCTTACAAAAATTAATGCACAGACTTGTTTTCTACATACCGATTATCAAGAAAAGAACTGCTTATGTGAGTAAGAACTTTCATTCAATTCAAAATTTACCTTCTCTTTAATCTGTTTCACTAATATAGAATAATACCTAGCAAGGACAGAGTATAACTAACCATTTTCTTAAACCCTTCAGTATTTATACTATATTTCCATGTCAGTGATTTGTTTTGAGCCTTTTTAAATGGCTCCATGGACATTTCAGAATTTTTTTTTTTTTTTTAGTATAAATCTCATTCTGCTTTAAAATATAACATGTGTTAATCGCATATATTTAGGTATAATATTTATGAAACACAAAAGATCAAAATACAGTACTCACAGTATTTCACAAAATCTTTCTGAAAATCCTTTCTGGTGTTGACAAAAGCACGTCCTCTCTCTGTTCCAACAACAAACACATCTGTTTCATACACGGCAATGCAGGCCACTTCTGCCTTAGACTTGGCCAGTTCTTTACACTGAAATAGAAACAATGAAGTGTTATACACAGATAGATATAAGTTAAAAACATTGTTTCTGCTGGATGAATAAAAAATCTTATCACCCTGCTGGCTTGGCTCAGGGTTCAGGTGTGTGGACTATGAACCACAGGGTCATGGTTCAATTCCCAGTCAGGGCACATGCCCAGGTTGCAGGCTTGATACCCAGGGTGTGCAGGAGGCAGCTGATCAGGCAGTCGAGCAGTTAGGAGCCAGTCATCCCGGATTGCAAGAGGGATATCTGACTGCTGGTTTAGGCCCGATCCCAGAATCAGGCCTAAACCAGCAAAGGAAATCCCGCGAGGAGTCCCTGATTGGAGAGAGTGCAGGCTGGGCTGAGGATCCCCCACCCCATGCACAAATTTCGTGCACCAGGCCTCTAGAATGTTTTATAAGAACAAATCAATCTCATCCACAAGTCCAATCTTATCCGAACATGGAAGGTTATAGAAGTGTAAAGCCATCTCACCATGGACTCAAGAGCAGACATGAGAAACGTCACCACCATTCTGCTCTCTGAAGACTCTTCATCTTCAACCGGCATGGCAGACATTGCTACTTGGGCCATGATCCCTGTGCAAGATAATTAAGAAGAAAGTGAGTAACTGAAATACAGTGCCCTGCTAAATGTAAGGTCTTCCACAAACTGCTTTCATTTATATCACACAAGAGAAAAATTAGGCTCAAATACCAAGTTTTATTCGCCAAAAACTCCTATTGCATAAAATAGAGCTTCTATCTCATAACTTTCCATCTAATTTTATTTTCATAAAATTAGGTCAGCATCATCCCCCAAAATAAATTCAGAACCAGTTAAAACTCTCCCAAGTAAAATGAAGAAAGATACACATCACAACCTAGTTGTAGTTTATCAAATTACATCATAGGAAACAGATGCAAAATTCCCTTTCTCCCATATACACACTGATTATAGAAAGAGGACTGAAGCTGGATGAAGATCGGTTCTTCTTTCTTACTGAAGAGGAAATAGGCTGCAGGGATAAATACCATCTACGATTCCTTTACAATACAGCATATTATTCTCATTAGAAAACATTTTGCTGATACTCTGATATCAGCAAAAAGCCTCAACTGAAATTCAAACACTATAAAAATATAACACATAAATATTAAATAGTAAGTGCTGACAAGGATGTGGAAAAATTGGACCCCCCCAGGCATTGCTATTAGGAATGTAAACTGGTACATCCATTGTAGCAATTTCTAAAAATTTAAACAAAATTACCACCCTGTGAGTGTGGCTTGAGCATCGAAAGGTTGCCAGTTCAATTCCTGGTCAAGGCACATACTGAATTGCAATTTTGACCCTCTCTCTCTTCTCCCTTCACTCTAAGCTTGTCCTAGGATAATGATGATGATGATGATGGTAATAATAATAATATTAATGGTAAATTAAAAAACACACACACATACTCACAAAATTACTATGCTGCAGAAATCCCACTTCTGGGTGTATACCCCAAAGAACTGAAAGCAGGGACTTGAACAAATATTTGTATACCAATCTTCATAACAGCATTATTCACAATAGCCAAAAGATGGGAACAACTCAAATGTTCATTGTCAGATAAATGGGTAAACAAAATGTGATCTACAGATGAAATGGAGTATAATTCAACCTTAACAAGGAATAAAGTTCTGATACATGCTATAGGACATAGATGGACACTGAAAATATTCTATTTTTAAAAATAAATAGGTAAAAAATAAGAAGAAACTATTATTCTAAGTGAAATAAGCCAGATACAAAAGGACAAATACAGTTGTCAATGACTAAGGAAAGGTGGAAAAAGGGAGTTGCTACTGGTATTTAATGCATATAGAATTTCAATTTGAGATGGTAAAAAAGTTCTGGAGATAATGGTGATGGTGTATAATAATGAGAATGTACTTAATGCCAGAAATAGTATATTTAAAAATAGTTAAAAATTGCCAAAACCGGTTTGGCTCAGTGGATAGAGCATCGGCCTGCGGACTGAAAGGTCCCAGGTTCAATTCTGGTCAAGAGCATGTACCTTGGTTGTGGACACATCCCCAGTAGGGGGTGTGCAAGAGGCAGCTGATTGATGATTCTCTCTCATCGATGTTTCTCTCTCTTCCTCTCTGTAAAAAAATCAATAAAATATATTTAAAAATTAAAAAAAATAGTTAAAATGGTAAATTTTGATATCAAATTAAAAAGCAAAACACATCTAAGACACTCTAAGGCAAAATCTAAAGCAGATTTTTAAAAATTCTCACACTAGCCCTGGCAGGTATGAGTCAGTTAGCTGGAGCATCGTCCATGCACCAAATGGTCTCAGGTTTGATACTTGGTCATGGCACATAACTAGGATGCAGGTTCAGTCCACATTCGGGATATGTTCAAGTGGCAACCGATCAATGTTTCTCTCTTTCTCTCTTTTTCTCCTTCCTCTCTCTCTAAAATCAACTTTTTAAAAATTAAGGACTAGAAGTATAAATGGGAATTCTAAAAAGCACATCTACATATATTTAATTTTCTAAATATCTGGGTATCCCTTAACTGAAGCCCCAATATTCCAGAAAACATAAGAGCTGTTAACATGAAAATAATTTTGGTTAAAAATGTACCTGAATCTTTTTCCTATTTTTAAACCGGATGATCTATTTCCTTATTAAAAACTCTGATCTATTTCCCATTTGCTACCACGTGAATTAACTGCCAGACTAGAATTAGGCATCAACATATAATAAATATTTACACCGAGGAAATAAAAGTTAATAGCAGCCCTGGCCAGTATGGCTCAGTTGGTTGAGTATTGTCCCCATGCACCAAAAGGTCGCCAGTTCAATTCCCAATCAAGGCTGGTTCAATTCTCAGTCAGGGCATACGCCCAGGTTTCACGCTTGATCTCCAATAGGGGACAAATAGGAGGCATATTTCTCTCTTAGATTAATGTTTGTCTCTCCTTCGCTCCTTGGTGCACAGGACAACACCCAACCAACTGAGCAACTCCAGCCAGGGCTGTATTTCTTAATAATCTAACTTTTCCTTTATTTCTCCAGCAAAAGAAAAAGGAAATGTGTCCTCATTTTACAAATGCAATGACTTGTCAAGGTCATTGCCTTAGCAAGTTTGTCTCAGTGGACAGAGCATCAGCCTGCGGACTGAAGGTTCCTGGGTTCAATTTCAGTCAAAGGCACATGCCTCGGGTTGCAGGCTCAACTCTCAGTGGGGGGCATGCAGGAGGCAGCCGATCAATGATTCCCTCTCATCACTGATGTTTCTATCTCTCCCTCTCCCTTCCTCTCTGAAATCAATAAAAATACATTAAAAAACAAAAACAAAACCACTCAAGTTCATGTGGCAAACACCCACAGGACAAAGGTAATTCTGAATTCTAGTATTAGAATTCCCATTTTTGCCAAAACCCGTTTGGCTCAATGGATAGAATGTCGTCTTGGGGACTGAAGGGTCCCGGGTTCAATTTCGGTTAAGGGCATGTACCTTGGTTGCGGGCATATCCCCAGTAGGGGGTGTGCAAGAGGCAGCTGATCGATGACTCATTGATGTTTCTAACTCTCTATCTCTCTCCCTTCAAAATCAATAAAATATATTTTTTAAAAAGAATTCCCATTTTTCTTTTAATATTAGCCTTTTCACATTATCCCTCCAAAACTTATCTCTATTTTATAAACTTTTTGGTACTTTTACAAACATTTTGCTTTATAATTTTATAACATGAGTTCCACCAATTCCAGGAACGACACTTTATATTCTTTATTCTCAAGAACAAGTTATGATTTAGCATAACTAGTAGATTACAAGGTTACAAATTCTCAATTCAGACTATCTCAAGTAAAGAAGGGAATATTTACTGGTGTGTTTACTCATTTCACTTTAAAAGTTGCACTGCTACACCCAGGAACATAAGACATCATTAGAGTTCTCTCTATTCCCTCCCTGTGGACCTGCCTCACTTCTTGAGCAGATATGTTTCTTCCCTAAAACAGAGATACAGACACATGGTTTACCACACACCTGTCCTATAATCCCAGAGGCAACAGACTCTCATATCTTCCTGCTACTGTTTGCACAAAAGTTTTAGGAGTTTGTGTCACAAGCTTATCCTACCAAAGCTCAAGTAACTATGACTAGTCAGAAAAAGATTACCTGGGCTACACTGCGATTAGCGCTGCAGCTAGAACCACATGAAATAGGAAGGTAGGCAGCTACTCAAAAGGCAAAGCAGGACACTTAACTGGAGGAAAGAAATGAGAAAAGCATTCCAGGAACACAAAACATAGCAGTTACCTGAGTCTGCTATCTTTCAATTCCCTTAATTCTTCCATTCTGAAGGTTTATCTTGTGTGACCCTAAATTTGATTTTAATACTTTTGTGAGTTTTAAATATGAACACATTGGACTGCTTCTGTTTCATTTCCTTATCTTTTATCCTTGTCAACTATTGTTTCATAGATGAGATGGCCTTCTTTTCTTTCTGAAAACAGACTCCAGCCATTCTTTAAAATCTTCTTGAGTTTCTTGTTGGAGATCCATTTCAGGGATTGGGTTTATCTGTGTCTTTACTATTCTGTTCTACCTCAAAATATGCCAATAATTAATTCCACGTAAATGTTTTCATTTGCCCATACTTCTGCTTTGAATTTTCTGATCCTTGTTAATACTGCATAGCAAAATAACAATTATAGTGAGTAGAAGAGAACTCTTAGAGATTTTCACACACATCATTATCACTCTAACTAAACAAAATAGGTTCTTAATATTTTTATTATGCTAATCTCTAAAATATTACTAAATTTTCAACATATATCTGCTTCCAAGTAAGATTCAGGTGAGACTGGTAAATAGAGGAGGTATTATCACCATGATCTTGTTTTGTATTTCATTATATTCATGTCCTTTTTCTTTCCTTGTGCTATTATATTGTTTTCAACAAACATCTTCCCATTTCAATCTTATAACATGCAATCTTAGATCAAGATAGTTAAAAAAAGATATTTTAGTGCAATCACTTTGTTCTATTAATTTAATAATGAGAAGCTCAACCCAGAAAGATTAGCCATTTTACTTAGGTCATACAGTTAATTTTATAACAAGAGACTAGAATCCTATCTCAAAATTCCAAATTACCTCTCTCATGTACAATAATAAAAGGCAGGTAAAAAAAAAAAAAAAGAAAGAAAGAAAGAAAAGAAAAGAAACCAAGGTAAATAATTATATATTAGTAACACTGTAGGCAAACCGGTTTTGGCTATAATTTCTAAAAGTGAATGAAAGTTAAATGTACTAAAATGGGCTATATCATGCACAGGAGGAAGGGGGGGAAATCCTCTTACCTCCAGCCTGCACCCTCTCCAATCCAGGACTCCAAGGGAGATGTCCGACTGTTGGTTTAGGCCCGATCCCAAGGATGTCCCAGTGATTGGGCCTAAACAGGCAGTCAGACATCGCTCTCACAATCCGGGGAAGCTCCTACACTGAGTGTCTGCCCACTAGTGATCAGTGTGCATCATAGCAACCGGTCATCTCCCCAATCAGGGCATTTGTGTCTTTGACCAGAA